GAGGTTTGCAGACCAGGTTAATTATTATGAATTGTAATGCAATAAATTACAATGGAATTTAATTTCCCATTACAATTACCATTTATTTAGAGAGGTAATAATTAAATTACAATAACTTTGATAAATGAAATATGGAGAAAACAAACAGTATTCAAGCTCAAAGTCCATTTAAACAATACAAATCGGGAGCAGAGCAAACACCATCGCCGCAAACCACGGCCAAATGCACGATCCTCTCCCATTCAGAGAGCTATGAGCGGACTCCGGACCGTGGCTTGAGACGATGAGCAAACACGGACCTTCAGAAACATCAGATGTGGGATCAGGTGCCATGAAGGAGCGGGCATCCCCTGTCGACTGGTCACACCTGCCATGTGCTCCTTGTCATGATCGCGAGAAACAGAAAAATCCGTAGACAATTCAGTTTGTAAATAATGGCCTAACAATTAGTATGAAAAAAGTCAGTCAGCATTTGACCTAATGGAAGGCTGCATTTGCGCTGACAAGGTCATTGTATCAACCATTTAAGTTGCGAAATGATTACTTCAAATGAGACTGTTGATACCCTTGTCTCGTCAACTTGTTTGTCAATAGCTTGCCTCGTTTTAGAAATTTTTATACGCAGAGCATGCTCTTGCGAATCGAATCAACTGGGAGACAAAAACCCCATAAGCAGGTGATAAGGGTATACTGCTACATAAGTAAGGGAAGTTGACGACTGAAAAATTAAAGTCATCATGTTTATCATAAAACTTGGTTATTAGGTTACCATTAAAGTCTTTTTCTAGTAAAATATCCAAATATAAAACAGATGTGCCAGACTTTGTGGTATCTTTTATTTCAAGCTTACTGGAGTATGTCGATATATCAATATATCGATAGAAGTAACTATTGTTAATTGATAATACGTCGTCGATATATCTAAATGTCGAGTTGAAGGCCACAGCAATTGTTTTCTTCTTCTTATGTAGAAGTTTTTGAATAAATTCTGCTTCATATGAATACAAAAATAGGTCTGCTAATTAAATTTGGGGCGCAATTTGCACCCATGGAATTCCAACAGATTGTTGGAGGACCTGATCTCCAAACACTACATAGAAATTGTCAATCAGAAACTCAAGCATCTTTATAATATCAACTTCAGAGTACTTGTGTATACAATTAGAATGTTTTTTTAACAAAATAATTCTACAAATGACAAATGACAAGGTAAGTATATTTACGAGTTCCATTTTTATTGAAAAAACAGCTTTCTATGAATGACATTACCCATCACATTTTAAATAAAAATAATAATCACGGAATTTTATAAAATTTCTTCGTAAATAGAATTTAAGTCAGATTGTACTATAAGATAATTTGGATCTATTTTCTTGACAAAATTCCTGAAGTGTTTGAGCAGCTTGAAACTTTGTTTCTATGGAATATATTTTCACTCTGCACTCAGAAACTTGTCTGTGCTCTCCTGTCTTGAGAAAGTTGGCATATTTCTGCCCCCTACATGCAACATAAATCATGATAACATGCAAGATAATTATATCTACATGAAAAAAAATGAAGTTGACATGCAACTTACCAATCATTTTTTAAAGTCTGATTTTTATGTTGGTAAGTTAAATTCTGACATCATAGATGCAGGATGCAACATAATTATCTTGACATTCCACTAAGTTACGTCAACATGCCAGATCATTATGCAGACATGCGACTTATTTATTTCAACATGGGAAATAATTATGTAGAGATGCATTTTTTAAAAGCCAAAATGAGAGATAAATATGTAGACATTCACTTTGTTTATGTCAGCATGCTAGTTAATTTAAAAGACATGCGACTTATTTATGTCAACATGGGGGTTAATTAAGTCACTTTAAACATACTTATGTTGACATGCGATTTGTTTATGTCAACATGCGAGTATGTTAAACATGACAAGTAAGTAAATAAACCAACATTAAAATACGATTTTCAACAAAAAACATGGTAACTTGCATGTCAACATAATTATTGCACATATAGACATAATTATCTTGCATGTTGACATACTCTTCTCGCATGTTGACATACTTTTCTCGCATGTTAACATACTTTTCTCGCATGTTAACATAATTTATCCATACTTAAGACATGTTGTTGATTGACAAGATATATGTTGTACCTCCTTTCTTAAAATCGCAACTAAAATCACAACTATTAGATTCAAGTCCACTTTGAAAATCTTCGTGTCAAGAAGTTTTGCATTAAAAAAATCAAATTTTTTTTTTAATTAAACACCATGGTGGCATATTTCTGCCCCCTACATGAAAAATAAATTTTCATGCAAGAAAGGTATGTCAAAATGCAAGAAAAATATGTCAACATGCAAGATAATTATGCCGACATGCAAGTTACCAATCTTTTAAGAAAATCTGATTTAAATATGGGTAAATTTACTTACTAAAGCCAGTATCTCGCATCTTAGATGCAAGACACAAAATAGTTATATAATATAATAATTATTTAGACATGTGACATACTTATATCGACGTGCAACTGATTTATGTCAATATGCAGTTTATTTTTTTTTTAACTTGCAAGATATTTATGTCAATATGCGATTGATATGCTAACATGCACGACATTTTGAATAAAAAGAAAATCACCTCTCAGTGAGTTAAATTTGTGGCAAATTCGTCTAAAAATAAATATTAGTTGGTAAAATACAACAAAATGTATTGAAAAATAATTGCTATTATTCACATTTCTTTGAAAATTATGCAATAAATTACATGTACTTGTAATTGAAAAAAGGTCGATTACAAATTACATCCCATTACTTTGAAAAAAATGTAAAGATTCAATGCATTACCGTTACACATTACCATCACCCCAGGCCTGGGTTTGTGAGACACATCATAATTGCGGGTTGAGTTCCGTAAAAGAATTAGATATTTTATGGAATTTTAAATGAATTACGTTTTAGTTGTGACCCAAACTTTGTAAAAGATCTCTCCGTCATGAAATAAACTAAACAAAGTAACCTTTTACATCTCTTTTGTTACATAATGACCTCGCGAGTTTTATTGGTATGGTGTTTGTTTTCAGCTGTACACAGATTTTGAAAAAAAAACACGACATACTAAGTCGTATGTACGACATACTTCATATGTCTTATGTGAGATATTATATGTCGTACATTCGAGCTTAATAATTCTGAAATATTAAGTCGTAAGAACAACATAATAACTCATATGTACGACTTAACAAGTCGTCCTCCGCTTGGCGCAGTGGTTAGAGCTCTAGAGTCGCAGTGTCAGGAGTTGATCCTTAAGTTGCGGGTTCGAATCCCACTGCGTGACATGGAGACCGGTCCTTCTGATGAGCCCATATAAAGCGAGGTCCCGTGTCGCAGTAAGGTGCTTGCACGTAAAAGATCCCTCACTGTGCAATTGCCTTGAGTGCCGAGTATAGGTCTAAATTCGCAGCCCTCCACTGGCAAGTGGTGGCGTCTCCATATGAGTGAAAAATTCTCGAGAGGGACGTTATACAACAAACGTACAAATTTAACAATTTTAAAGAGCCATTCTCTGTAATGACTTGAACTTTTATATAGGAGCTATGGCACGCATAGTCTCAGAATTTCTCTAAACTCTTTATGATAAAAGTCTTTGATTACGTAAACTCAAATCAGGCATAAACTGGTTGCTAAACTGGTTGCTACGTGTCATGGTTACCATAGCAACATGTCCTAAAGTTTGAAAAATGGCATTTTTCAACATGTTCAGAGTCTCACAGTTAACGTTTGTAGCAAAGCAAACAAGTGACAATGACTGTTTCTGAAAGTTAAAGGCCTGATTTCTTAAATGCATGATAAACATGTTTGGTAAATCAACTATTACACAGGTTACTATGGAAACAAGTATTCAAAAGTAATAATTTTGTTCATTTAATTTTAAAAAGTCATAGACGTAAGAATAAAAACCATTATAGGTTGAAATGCACGCAAATAATAGACAAAAGATCCTTGTAACATATACCAAGGACGAAATATGATATTTCTTATAGGTTGGCAATGGTTGCCATGGTTTTAATACTAGGAAGAGATTTTAAATTTACTCTCTTAGTATTTTAATCTTATCCTATATTTTTAAAAAGCATATTTCTATATAACTGATGATCAATTTTTAAAGGCGTTGGTGTGACCCTAATTTTCACATTTCAAAAAATTCAAATTCAATTCTTTAAATAGAGCGTTGCTATGGAAATTAGCCGAAAAAATAGGCATGAAAAACTGAAAAATATTCTATTGTATTTTTCAACAAACTTTATCAATATATGATATTCAACTTTAGATATACCAGATAAGTACTATTCAAGGTGAGTCAAATAATATGTTTCTCATGGCAACCATGTAAGTTATTTTTAGGATAACATTGCCATACCTAATTACTTAAGGTCAAATATTTTAATTGTTTTTCTTAGGTTGTTGATTGAGTTTGATCATGTAACACCTATCATTAGTGAATATTGAGCGTTTTTCAGCATCTAAACTGTATTCCAAATGTACCCATGGTTACCACTTACTTAGAGATAAATTCTAAATAGTTTCTTTATGGCATAAGAGGCAACAAGGTGTCATGTTTTTGTGAGAATGGTTTGTTTGTTTCTCTAAGTCTTTATTAAGGCTAAATAAAGATTCAAATTAGCTGAAAAGCTCAATTTTTCCAACTTTTCTGGCTGTTGCCATGGCAACCAAGACACATAGCAATGAAATTTTATTTGATGTATGTTTCTGGTGTCAAGTTGTAAAAATGGGCAAAGTTTTATCAAAATCGGTGACCATGCGTGGCAGAAGTTGAAGTGGTAACAGAGAATCGCTATTACGTCGTACGTACCAGATAATACATTTGTATGTCGTAGTAGGAAATACCATGTCGTTATGTACTAGATACTCTTCGTACAAACCAGATACTAAGGTAACTATAGAATTTAACTTTGAATATGATTTTATTCACCTCAAATGCAAAATATATATAATTCGACACTCTGTCAAACCTTTGTTTAGCAATATATCAAGAAAAATCGTTAAAAGGTGTGTTAATAGGTGGCTTAATCTTTATTCGAGGATAATTTTACATTTATACCTATTTCATGATCATGCTAGATGATGACTAATGTGCTAAATAATGACTAAAAGAAATACATGTAAAGTTGCTAGTTGAGTCATATATGTATTTAATTGCTTAGTTCACATAAATACCAACGTTCAGGGAAATAATAGGTGACCTTTGAGAATATCTTGCTATATAGTCTATGTCGCTAATCCAGATTTGATTGTATTTCACATGAGTTGAAATTTAAGAGAAAGTTTTGTATTACTGCATGGTGAAATTATCTTTTTCAACAAAATCCAAATAGTTTGCCGAAACTCCTTAATGGCAATAAAATACAGAAAGGCTTTATAGGTGTAATTAAAGGCCGAAAAGACACTGAGGAATTCTAACCATTTCTGGTCTAAATAGTCAGGCTGTACCTCAAAGGTCAGTCGCGTCCTCAGTGAGTCAAAAGGCACACATAAGATGAGGAAAATGGCTGACAAAATACAACAAGTGACTGTCAATCTCTCACTTCTCATGAACACTTTAGGATAAAACTTTTTAAGGTAAATCATCCTTCTGTCTTCAGGGTCTAAATTGCTCGGTCGTCGACTACAGTTAGATCGTCGACTACTATGACATGGTGACGGGCGTCTGTCTCCATTTCTTCGATTGTCACAGAGCTTGATAATGCATGTCGTCAACAGAACATACAGACACAGGGAGGGAACGATAAATGAAAAGAAAACATCAATTTTTCTCAGCAAAAATATATTCTTCAGGTTTTCTGGAATGATTATGCAGTTATCGACATTTCGAATTTTTATCACGGCACTCGTCCACGTTAAATACAAATGAGACACAACGGAAAAGACGCACATAGAAATAATGATACACTTTGTGCGAAATGGACTGCATAACACCTTTGCTTTTTTACGGTTCAAAAGTACCAAAGACCTTTCTATCATCATCAATACCATCAGCCACCACTCCATAAAGGTACTCAGATAATGGAAGTAGTAGGTCAGCTGACAAATTCCCGCCACAGCGTATATGTTATAGACTCTACTTGAGGCCCAGGGGACCATCATTTGCAGCAGATAGGTGATATCAACAAATGCTAGAGCTACAAAGTACAGGCAAGGTGACACTCTGCTTAACTCTGTGGACAGAAAGCTGATGATTATTATTATGTTCAAACACACTCCCACCGAGAAAAGCACGGGGATGCTGTACTCATTCAGAACGTAGGCTGCATATCGTAATTGTTCCGGAAGGTCCGGTGGTTCGAATAAGTCCATGTTGTCTCTAAAACTAGCAGTTCCATTGCTAACGTTCAAATGTTGACTATAATTCATTGCTGAAATCAAGCTAGCGTTCCATCACAATGTATCTGTATCTAGAAGGGAAAAAAAGTTCTTTAAATAACAACGATCACATCAAATATACGTCAGAGTATGCTTGGCTATGTAATACAATCAACAGCCTCAGTATTTTAACTATGAAAACAATTGTTGTGAAATAAATACCAGGTACTCGTATTTAAAACAGTTCCTGTGATGATATGATATTTTCCCCTCATACACAAACACACACTATATAAAGCAACGTAATCATTCACCTGGCATCAGTTTATACCACTGATACATGTGATTCATTGAATCACTCTAAAAGTTCATTCACACTGTTGTTTCGGTTTACATGTAACTCTTACTTAACTATAACACCAAGTAAGGAAATCAATAATCAATATTCATGATCTTTAAGAATTACTTGAGGAGTGATTTCAATTAAATCTTGTGGTGATAAATAGTTATTTCAAAAGCTGCACTAATTCAATGTTCATTTCAAAAGAAGTTAACTGAATTTTTTTATCCCCGATGTTTCCTATGTTAAATCTGTCTTGTTTTAAGTTCAATACCTTTGTCTTGATAAGTTAGGTATACAGTGCACAATATATCAAAATCCGCTGTCACACTATTTTCTCCATTATTTCTAATGAAAACTATATTGCTGTCTATTTGAAGTAATATATACAATTTACTTCTAAACTAGTAAGATCCTTTTTTTTTTTTTTTTTTTTTTTTAAAGCCATATCTAATCCCGAATAGGTCAACTGTTCTACGCCTCTTTTGAACGAACGCATCGATAATAGAATATCTTAAGTACTTCATTTTAAATGAATCTAAAAACAATTGTAAATACAAGACGTGTATGTGAAATACTGATCCCCCCGAATGGCAGCTCAAGATCAAGATTAAAGATTTTTTCAAATGTAGGTCAAACTCGAAGGCCAAGGCCAAGTGTTCAGAAATATTGATACCTAAAGAAAGGTCTTGTAACAGGAAATACACATGCGAAAAATAAATACGTAGTACCAACCATTCAGGAAATATGGCTAAGGTTAAAGTTTGTCAAAAAGTAGGTCATGCTCCAAGATAAATGTCACGGTGATTAAAAATAATGGCACCAAAGGAAAGATCTTGTCACAAAGAATACACATGTGATATATGAAAGACTTAGCTCCCACTGTTCAAAAGTAATGGCCAAAGAAAAGTTTTTCAAAGTAGGTAAATCTCAAAGGTCAAGGTCGAAAGGTAAAAGATGTTGATGATTAAAGAAAGGTCACGACACATGAAATATACATATGAAATATGAAAGCCCTTTAAAACCATTTAAAAGTTAGGGCAAGGTTAAAATATTTGCAACCAAACAGATTAACAGACAAACAGACGGACAATCCAAAAACTATATATCCCCGAATCTTGGATTAAGGAAAAATAATAAACATGAAATGTCTCCCATTCTATTATAAGGGGTTTGACGGTTGCAGTCATCGTACAAATAAATTTCCATAACCCGCTTAGCATATATGTTTTTGCAATATGAACAAGCATTCTGAGAGTATTGCATTAGCAATACTAGTCCCCTACCGGCAAATGTAATTTGGTTCCCGATAAAAAATAATAATGCCATAAATCCATCAAAAACCAGTGAAGCGGAACGAAATGCAAACTTGATTTATAACTTATCAAGGATAAGTCATATACCAAAAATCAGCTCATTATCTGCAAGCGTTTAGAAAAAAATTGCGGAAAACCCTGAAAAATTGAAAAGGTCGTAATTCCGTTAAAAATCATTGAAGCGGAACGAAATGCAAACTTGATCTGTAACTCATCAAGATACACTCACATACCAGAGGGACAGACAGACAGACAGACAGACGGACGGACAGACTCAGAAGAAACCTATAGTCCCCTCCGGTTTCACCGGTAGGGGACTAAAAAGAACATTTTTATTGTTTCCTAGTATTGCATAATCATGTAACGCTTTCCCTCAAACGCTTCAAACTTCACATAATTTTTTGCAAGCCTAGTTAGTCCCCTACCGGTGAAACCGGAGGGGTCTATAGGTTTCCTCTGAGTCTGTCCGTCCGTCTGTCTGTTCTGTCCCTCTGTCTATCTGTCAGTCTGTCCCACTTGGTTTTCCGCACTGTTTTCCTAAACGCTTGCAGATATTGAGCTGATTTTTGGTATGTGAGTATATCTTGATGAGTTACAGACCAAGTTTGCATTTCCTTTCGCTTCATTGATTTTTAACGGAATTATGACCTTTTCAATTTTTAAGGGTTTTCCGCGATTTTTTTCTGAACGCTTGTAGATATTGAGCTGATTTTTGGTTGGTATGTGACTTAACCTTAATTACTTATAGATTAAGTTTGCATTTCGTTCTGCTTCAATGATTTTTAACGGAATTATAGCATTTTCAAATTTTAACGAGAACCAGATTACACTTGCCGGTAGGGGACTAGTATTGCTAATGCAATACTTTCAGAATGCTTATTAATATGCTTTTATAGCATCGTGTAGACATAAATATTATAAAGTCATTGTATTTATCCTTTGGCTTTGGTGTGTATTTGTCTTTTGTTAAAAAGCCCATGTACTATGTTGTCAATAGACTGAACATGAATGCAAACAACACCAAACGGAGACCAGATTGACGGATCAATATACATGATAACCACAGCATCATTTAAAATCAGTTTTTTTTTAAAATAAAGTTACTTTAAAGATGACTATTGAACTAATTTTGTAACTTTGTAACGAATTACAATTTTCGTGAAGGTTCAATGAAAATGGTATTGGTATCTAATAGTGATAGATTACATAAATCCCTTTATAAATACAAATTGTGAAGAGGACAAAAACACGGCCCCCTTTATTTGCAAAACATTTTTGATGTTTTCAAGATAATTGCATTCACACTTGAAGAGGGGGGAGGGGTCTTCAAATATGTAGCTACTGAATTTATATTTGAAAGCATTGAATGATTTTTTCGCGTTTCAATTTTTACAATGAAGATTCAACATCGAATTCGGTAACAGCATAATCCATGATTAAGTCTATAATAGTGTGTATTTGCAAAAACAACAAAGTAAATTAATTCGGAATGAATGTAATAATTTATATTTGCTCTTTTAATACCCCCCATTTACAACACTTTTTCGCAAGTTTTCATTGTAACCTAATCACCATGATTTTGATTGTAAGTAAAGGTCTTTGTTTCAAGAAATGACACAAAACCGTATGCGAAAATCTTAGTCCCATGTGTAAAATATCTAAGATATCAATTTCTTTGTTTCGTCAGCACTCGGCGTGGGCTCACGGTCCCTTATGACTCAAAGTCATCGCAAAATTACTTGAAACAGCTTTAGAAAGATCTATCATTGGGTTCTACAAGATTCTGAACATTGATCTTAACTTTTGGGGTGCATAATTCTGATTTATTTCGCTAATTTTAACTTGAATTAAAAAAAATCTTTGATTTTCTGTCACTTAGAGACTTAAAATGTCATAAGATCTGAAGCCAGTATAATGAAATTTTTCTCTTTTTATTAAGTCAGAAAAATCAAGAGAATTTCTATTTTAATCTAATATTAATCTAAGAAAAAAATCAATTGACTAAAACTGTCTGTTGAAAATTAATTACCCCGGTATTCAGTTCTATAAAACATTTAAATATAATAAAAATTAAAATAGGTATTACTACATTACAGCAATATTGCACGACATATATGTATGATGTATGATTCAGCCCAATTTTTAACAAAGTCTCGGTGCTACATGAATAACAAGTTTTATATATATATATATATATATATATATAGACCCTGGAATATACACTTTCAGTAAGTTTAAAGTGAACTCTTCCAGACGGTCCTCTAAATAGAAAATTGAATATTTTCACCATTTTTAGAGAACTCTTTTCACATGTGCCCATAATAACGTTTTAGCTATTAACTTTAAAACTTGTCAATGATAGATTTATCATGATCAATAGCAACAAAGAAAAAATGTCTCTGAAAATGATATCAGAAATATGTAATTGTGTAATCACTTCAATGATTTTCATTTAACAATATCCAATTTGATTAAAATTTAATATGGAGAGAGAGAGAGAGAGAGAGAGAGAGAGAGAGAGAGAGAGAGAGAGAGATATTAAAATATCCAGAATTGTCAGTCAGGGGAAAAAGACACATTATGTAACGATGTTTGCCGTAACTTTGTTTTCAATATAGGACTATAACGTGACATGATAACAATCAGGAACTACTGTTCCTCTTTTTTGACCAATTGAAAATCTTATGTCTTAAAACTCCGTAATGGTCAACTACGCATTCCATTTGTAGTGCAAATCTAAATTAAGATGATAATTAGTATATAAGAAGAGAGTTGTAATTTAATTTACCAACATTAAAATCAGACTTTTTAAAATAATTGGTAATTTGCATATTAACTTAATTTTTTTGCATGTAGATATCATTTTCTTGTATGTTGTCATAATTTATGCTGCATGAAATATGTGGAGATAACGAACAGTCTTCGAGCTCAAATTTCCATTAATCATTACAAAATAGGAGCAGAGCAAACACGAACCTCTGAGACATCATGGGATCATGTAGGGGGCAGAATTAGGATCATGTAGGGGGCAGAATTAGGATCATGTAGGGGGCAGAATTAGGATCATATAGGGGGCAGAATTAGGATCATGTAGGGGCAGAATTAGGATCATGTAGGGGCAGAATTAGGATCATGTAGGGGGCAGAATTAGGATCGTGTAGGGGGCAGAATTAGGATCATGTAGGGGGCAGAATTAGGATCATGTAGGGGGCAGAATTAGGATCATGCAGGGGGCTGAATTAGGATCATATGGGGGGCAGAATTAGGATCATGTAGGGGGCAGAATTAGGATCATGTAGGGGGCAGAATTAGGATCATATAGGGGGCAGAATTAGGATCATATAGGGGCAGAATTAGGATCATGCAGGGGGCAGAATTAGGATCATGCAGGGGGGCTGAATTATGCCAACATTCTC